GCGGGGGGGGGGGGGGGGGGGGGGGGGGGGGGGGGGGGGGGGGGGGGGGGGGGGGGGGGGGGGGGGGGGGGGGGGGGCGGGGGGGGGCGGGGGGGGGGGGGGGCGGGGGGGGGGGGGGGGGGGGGGGGGGGGGGGGGGGCGGGGGGGGGGGGGGGGGGGGGGCGGGGGGGGGGGGGGGGGGGGCGGGGGGGGGGGGGGGGGGGGGGGGGGGGGCGGGGGGGGGGGGGGGGGGGGGGGGGGGGGGGGGGGGGGGGGGGGCGGGGGGGGGGCGGGGGGGGGGGGGGGGGGGGGGGGGGGGGGGGGGGGGCGGGGGGGGGGGGGGGGGGGGGGGGGGGGGGGGGGCGGGGGGGGGGGGGGGGGGGGGGGGGGGGGGGGGCGGGGGGGGGGGGGGGGGGGGGGGGGGGGGCGGGGGGGGGGGGGGGGGGGGGGGGGGGGGGCGGGGGGGGGGGGGGGGGGGGGGGGCGGGGGGGGGGGGGGGGGGGGGGGGGGGGCGGGGGGGGGGGGGGGGGGGGGGGGCGGGGGGGGGGGGGGGGGGGGGGGGGGGGGGGGCGGGGGGGGGGGGGGGGGGGGGGGGGGGGGGGGGGGGGGGGGGGGGGGGGGGGGGGGCGGGGGGGGGGGGGCGGGGGGGCGGGGGGGGGGGGGGGGGCGGGGGGGGGGGGGGGGGGGGGGGGGGGGGGGGGCGGGGGGGGGGGGGGGGGCGGGGGGGGGGGGGGGGGGGCGGGGGGGGGGGGGGGGGCGGGGGGGGGGCGGGGGGGCGGGGGGGGGGGGGGGGGGGCGGGGGGGGGGCGGGGGGGGGGGGGGGGGGGGGGGGGGGGGGCGGGGGGGGGGGGCGGGGGGGGGCGGGGGGGGGGGGGGCGGGGGGGGGGGGGGGGGGGGGGGGGGCGGGGGGGGGGGGCGGGGGGGGGGGGGGGGGGGGGGGGGGGGCGGGGGGGGGGGGGGGGGGGGGCGGGGGGGGGGGGGGGGGGGGGGGGGGGCGGGGGGGGGGGGCGGGGGGGGGGGGGGGGGGGGGGGGGGGGCGGGGGGGGGGGGGGGGGGGCGGGGGGGGGGGGGGGGCGGGGGGGGTGGGCGGGGGGGGGGCGGGGGGGGGGGGGGGGGGGCGGGGGGGGGGGGGGGGGGGGGGGGGGGGGGGGGGGGGGGGGGGGGGGCGGGGGGGGGGGGCGGGGGGGGGGGGGGGGGGCGGGGGGGGGGGGGGGGGGGGGGGGGCGGGGGGGGGGGGGGGGGGGGGGGGGGGGGGGGGGGGGGGGGGGGGGGGGGGGCGGGGGGGGGGGGGGGGGGGGGGGGGGGGGGGGGGCGGGGGGGGGGGGCGGGGGGGGGGGGGGGGGGGGGGGGGCGGGGGGGGGGGGGGGGGGGGGGCGGGGGGGGGGGGGGGGGGCGGGGGGGGGGGGGGGGGGGGGGGCGGGGGGGGGGGGGGGGGGGGGGGGCGGGGGGGGGGGGGCGGGGGGGGGGGGGGGGGGGGGGCGGGGGGGGGGGGGGGGGGGCGGGGGGGGGGGGGGGGGGGGGGGGGGGCGGGGGGGGGGGGCGGGGGGGGGGGGGGGGGGGGGGGGGGGGGGGGGCGGGGGGGGGGGGCGGGGGGGGGGGGGGGGGGGGGGCGGGCGGGGGGGGGGGGGGGGGGGCGGGGGGGGGGGGGGGGGGGGGGGGGGGGCGGGGGGGGGGGGGGGGGGGGGGGGGGGGGGGGGGGGGGGGGGGGGGGGGGGGGGGGGCGGGGGGGGGGGGGGGGGCGGGGGGGGGGGGGGGGGGGGGGGGGGGGGGCGGGGGGGGGGGCGGGGGGGGGGGGGGGGGGGGGGGGGGGGGGGCGGGGGGGGGGGCGGGGGGGGGGGGGGGGGGGGGGGGGGGGGGGGGGGGGCGGGGGGGGGGGGGGGGGGGGGGGGGGGGGCGGGGGGGGGGGGGGGGGGGGGGGGGGGGGGGCGGGGGGGGGGGGGGGGGGGGGGGCGGGGGGGGGGGGGGGGGGGGGGGGGGGGGGGGCGGGGGGGGGGGGGGGGGGGCGGGGGGGGGGGGGGGGGGGGGGGGGGGGGGGGGGGGCGGGGGGGCGGGGGGGGGGGGGGGGGGGGGGGGGGGGGGGGGGGGGGGGGGGGGCGGCGGGGGGGGGGCGCGGGGGCGGGCGGGGGGGTGGGCGGGGGGTGGGGGGGGGGGGTGGGCGCGGCGCGGGGGGGGGGGGGGGGGGGGGGGGGGGGGCGGGGGGGGGGGGGGGGGGGGGGGGGGGGGGGGGGGGGGGGGGGCGGGGGGGGGGGGGCGGGGGGGGGGGGGGGGGGCGGGGGGGGGGGGGGGGGGGGGGGGGGGGGGGGGGGGGGCGGGGGGGGGGGGGGGGGGGGGGGGGGGGGGGGGCGGGGGGGGGGGGGGGGGGGGGGGGGAGGGGGGGGGGGGGGGGGGGGGGGGGGGGGGGGGGGGGGGGGGGCGGGGGGGGGGGGGGGGGGGGGGGGGGGGGGGGGGGGGGGGGGGGGGGGGGGGCGGGGGGGGGGGGGGGGGGGGGGGGGGGGGGGGGGGGGGGGGGGGGGGGGGCGGGGGGGGGGGGGGGGGGGGGGGGGGGGCGGGGGGGGGGGCGGGGGGGGGGGGGGGGGGGGGGGGGGGGCGGGGGGGGGGGGGGGGGGGGGGGGGGCGGGGGGGGGGGGGGGGGGCGGGGGGGGGGGGGGGGGGGGGGGGGGGCGGGGGGGGGGGGGGGGGGGGGGGGGGGGGGGGGGGGGGGGGGGGGGGGGGGGGGGGGGGGGGGGGGGGGGGGGGGGGCGGGGGGGGGGGGGGGGGGGGGGGGGGGGGGGGCGGGGCGGGGGGGGGGGGGGGGGGGGGGGGGGGGGGGCGGGGGGGGGGGGGGGGGGGGGGGGGGGGGGCGGGGGGGGGGGGGGGGGGCGGGGGGGGGGGGGCGGGGGCGGGGGGGGGGGGCGGGGGGGGGGGGGGGGGGGGGGGCGGGGGGGGGGGGGGGGGGGGGCGGGGGGGGGGGGGGGGGGGGGGGGGGGGCGGGGGGGGGGGGGGGGGGGGGGGGGCGGGGGGGGGGGGGCGGGGGGGGGGGGGGGGGGGGGGCGGGGGGGGCGGGGGGGGGGGGGGGCGGGGGGGGGCGGGGGGGGGGGGGGGGGGGGGGGGCGGGGGGGGGGGGGGGGGGGGGGGGGGGGGGGGGGGGCGGGGGGGGGGGGGGGGGGGGGGCGGGGGGGGGGGGGGGGGGGGCGGGGGGGGGGGGGGGGGGGGGGGGGGGGGGGGGGGGGGGCGGGGGGGGGGGGGGGGGGGGGGGGGGGCGGGGGGGGGGGGGGGGGGGGGGGGGGGGGGGGGGGGGCGGGGGGGGGGGGGGGGGGGGGCGGGGGGGGGGGGGGGGGGGGGGGGGGGGGCGGGGGGGGGGGGGGGGGCGGGGGGGGGGGGGGGGGGGGCGGGGGGGGGGGGGGGGGGGCGGGGGGGGGGGGGGGGGCGGGGGGGGGGGGGGGGGGGGGGCGGGGGGGGGGGGGGGGGGGGGCGGGGGGGGGGGGGGGGGGGGCGGGGGGGGGGGGGGGGGGGGGGGGGGCGGGGGGGGGGGGGGGGGGGGGGGGGCGGGGGGGGGGGGGGGGGCGGGGGGGGGGGGGCGGGGGGGGGGGGGGGGGGGGGGGGGGCGGGGGGGGGGGGGGGGGGGGGGGCGGGGGGGGGGGGGGGGGGGGGGCGGGGGGGGGGGGGGGCGGGGGGGGGCGGGGGGGGGGGGGGGGGCGGGGGGGGGGGGGGGCGGGGGGGGGGGGGGGGGGGGGGCGGGGGGGGGGGGGGGGGGGGGGGGGGGGGGCGGGGGGGGGGGGGGGGGGGGGGGGGGGGGGGGGGGCGGGGGGGGGGGGGGGGGGCGGGGGGGGGGGGGGGGGGGGGGGGGGGGGGGGGGCGGGGCGGGGGGGGGGGGGGGGGGGGGGGGGGGCGGGGGGGGGGGGGGGGGGGGGGGGGGGGGGGGGGGCGGGGGGGGGGGGGGGGGGGGGGGGGGGGGGGGGGGGGGGGGGGGGGGGGGGCGGGGGGGGGGGGGGCGGGGGGGGCGGGGGGGGGGGGGGGGGGGGCGGGGGGGGGGGGGGGGGGGGGGGGGGGGGGGGCGGGGGGGGGGGGGGGCGGGGGGGGGGGGGGGGGGGGGGGGGGGGGGGGGCGGGGGGGGGGGGGGGGGGGGGGGGGGGGGGGGGGGGGGGGCGGGGGGGGGGGGGGGGGGGGGGGGGGGGGGGGGGCGGGGGGGGGGCGGGGGGGGGGGGGGGGGGCGGGGGGGGGGGGGGGGGGGGGGGGGGCGGGGGGGGGGGGGGGCGGGGGGGGGGGGGGGGGCGGGGGGGGGGGGGGGGGGGGGGGGGGGGGGGGGGGGGGCGGGGGGGGGGGGGGGGGGGGGGCGGGGGGGGGGGGGGGGCGGGGGGGGGGGGGGGGGGGGGGGGGGGGGGGGGGGGGGGGGGGGCGGGGGGGGGGGGCGGGGGGGGGGGGGGGCGGGGGGGGGGGCGGGGGGGGGGGGGGGCGGGGGGGGGGGGGGGGCGGGGGGGGGGGGGGGGGGGCGGGGGGGGGGGGGGGGGGGGGGGGGGGCGGGGGGGGGGGGGGGGGGGGGGGGGGGGGGGGGGGGGGGGGCGGGGGGGGGGGGGGCGGGGGGGGGGGGGGGGGGGGGGGGGGGGGCGGGGGGGGGGGGGGGGGGGGGGGGCGGGGGGGGGGGGGGGGGCGGGGGGGGGGGGGCGGGGGGGGGGGGGGGGGGGGGGCGGGGGGGGGGGGGGCGGGGGGGGGGGGGGGGGGGGGGGCGGGGGGGGGGGGGGGGGGGGGGCGGGGGGGGGGGGGGGGGGGGGGGGCGGGGGGGGGGGGGGGGGGGGGGGGGGGGGCGGGGGGGGGGGGGGGGGGGGGGGCGGGGGGGGGGGGGGGGGGGCGGGGGGGGGGGGGGGGGGGGGGGGGGGCGGGGGGGGGGGGGGGGGGGGGGGGGGGGGGAGGGGGGGGGGGGGGGGCGGGGGGGGCGGGGGGGGCGGGGGGGAGGGGGCGGGCGGGGGGGGGCGGGGGGGGGGGGGGGGGGGGGGGGCGGGGGGGGCGGGGGTCGCGGGGGGGGGGGGGCGGCGCCGGGGGGGGAGGGGGGGGGGGGGGGGGGGGGCCGGGGGGGGGGGGGGGGGGGCGGCGGGTGGGCGGGGGGGGGGGGGGGGCGGGCGGGGGGGGGGGGGGGGGGGCGGGGCGGGGGCGGGGGGGGGGGGCGGGGGGGGGGGCGCGGGGGGCGGGGGGGGGCCGGGGGGGGGGGGCGGGGGGGGGGGGGGGCGGGGGGGCGGGGGCGGGTGGCGGGGGGGGGGGGGGGGGGGCGCGGGGGGGCGGGGGCGGGGGGGGGGGGGGGGCGGGCGGGGGGGCGGGGGGGGGGGGGGGGCGAGCGGCGGGGGCGGGGGGGGCGGGGGGCGGGGGGGGGCGGGGGGGTCGGGGGGGGGGGGCCGGGGGGGGGGGGGGGGGGGGGGGGGGGCGGGGGGGGGGGGGGCGGGGGGGGGGGGGGGGGCGGGGGGGGGGGGGGGGGGGGGGGGGGGGGCGGGGGGGGGGGGGGGGGGGGGGGGGGGGGCGGGGGGGGGGGGGGGGGGGGGGGGCGGGGGGGGGGGGGGGGGGGGGGGGGGGGGGGGGGGGGGGGGGCGGGGGGGGGGGGGGGGGGGGGGGGGGGGGGGGGGGGCGGGGGGGGGGGGGCGGGGGGGGGGGGGGGGGCGGGGGGGGGGGGGGGGGGGGGGGCGGGGGGGGGGGGGGGGGGGGGGGGGGGGGGGGGGGGGGGGGGGGGGGGGGGGGGGGCGGGGGGGGGGGGGGGGGGGGGGGGGGGGGGGGGGGGCGGGGGGGGGGGGGGGGGGGGGGCGGGGGGGGGGGGGCGGGGGGGGGGGGGGGGGGGGGGGGGGGGGGGGGGGGGGGGGGGGGGGGGGCGGGGGGGGGGGGGGGGGGGGGGGGGGGGGGGGGGGGGGGGGGGCGGGGGGGGGGGGCGGGGGGGGCGGGGGGGGGGGGGGGGGGGGGGGGGGGGGGGGGGGGGGGGGGGGGGGGGGGGGGGGGGGGCGGGGGGGGGGGGGGGGGGGCGGGGGGGGGGGGGGGGGGGGGGGGGGGGGGGGGCGGGGGGGGGGGGGGGGGGGGGGGCGGGGGGGGGGGGGGGGGGGGGGGGGGGGGCGGGGGGGGGGGGGGCGGGGGGGGGGGGGGGGGCGGGGGGGGGGCGGGGGGGGGGGGGGGGGGGGGGGGGGGGGGGGGGGGGGGGCGGGGGGGGGGGGGGGGGGGGGGGGGGGGGGGGGGGGGGGGGGGGGGGGGGGGGGCGGGGGGGGGGGGGGGGGGGGGGGGGGGGGGGGGGGGGGGCGGGGTGGGGGGGGGGGGGGGGGGGGGGGGGGGGGCGGGGGGGGGGGGGGGGGGGGGGGGGGGGGGGCGGGGGGGGGGGGGGGGGGGGGGGGGGGCGGGGGGGGGGGGGCGGGGGGGGGGGGGGGGGGGGGGGGCGGGGGGGGGGGGGGGGGGGGGGGGGGGGGGGGGGGGGCGGGGGGGCGGGGGGGGGGGGCGGGGGGGGGGGGGGGGGGGGGGGCGGGGGGGGGGGGGGGGGGGGGGGGGGGGGGGGGGGGGGGGGGGGGGGGGGGGGGGGGGGGGGGGGGGCGGGGGGGGGGGGGGGGGGGGGGGGGGGGGGGGGGCGGGGGGGGGGGGGGGGGGGGGGGGGGGGGGGGGGGGGGGGGGGGGGGGCGGGGGGGGGGGGGGGGGGGGGGGGCGGGGGGGGGGGGGGGGGGGGGGGGCGGGGGGCGGGGGGGGGGGGGGGGGGGGGGGGGGGGGGGGGGGGGGGGCGGGGGGGGGGGGGGGGGGGGGGGGGGGGGGCGGGGGGGGGGGGGGGGGGGGGCGGGGGGGGGGGGGGGGGGGGGGGGGGGGGGGGGGGGGGGGGGGGGGGCGGGGGGGGGGGGGGGGGGGGGGGGGGGGGGGGGGGGGGGGGGGGGGGGGGGGGGGGGGGGGGGGGGGGGGGGGCGGGGGGGGGGGGGGGGGGGGGGGGGGGGGGGGGGGGCGGGGGGGGGGGGGGGGGGGGGGGGGGGGGGGGGCGGGGGGGGGGGGGGCGGGGGGGGGGGGGGGGGGGGGGGGGGGGGGGGGGGGGGGGGCGGGGGGGGGGGGGGGGGGGGGGGGGGGGGGGGGGGGCGGGGGGGGGGGGGGGGGGGGGGGGGGGGGGGGGGGGGGGGGGGGGGGGGGGGGGGGGGGGGGGGGGGGGGGGGGGGGGGGGGGGGGCGGGGGGGGGGGGGGGGGGGGGGGGGGGGCGGGGGGGGGGGGGGGGGGGGGGCGGGGGGGGGGGGGGGGGGGGCGGGGGGGGGGGGGGGGGGGGCGGGGGGGGGGGGGGGGGGGGGGGGGGGGGGGGGGGGGGGGGGGGGGGGCGGGGGGGGGGGGGGGGGGGCGGGGGGGGGGGGGGGGGGGGGGGGGGGGGGGGGGGGGGGGGGGGCGGGGGGGGGGGGGGGGGGGGGGGGGGGGGGGGGGGGCGGGGGGGGGGGGGGGGGGGGGGGGGGGGGGGGGGGGGGGGGGGGGGGGGGGGGGGGGGGGGGGGGGGGGGGGGGGGGGGGGGGGGGGGGGGGGGGGGGGGGGGGGGGGGGGGGGGCGGGGGGGGGGGGGGGGGGCGGGGGGGGGGGGGGGGGGGGGGGGGGGGGGGGGGGGGGGGGGGGGGGGGGGGGGGGGGGGGGGGGCGGGGGGGGGGGGGGGGGGGGGGGGGGGGGGGGGGGGGGGGGGGGGGGGGGGCGGGGGGGGGGGGGGGGGGGGGGGGGGCGGGGGGGGGGGGGGGGGGGGGGGGGGGGGGGGGGGGGGGGGGGGGGGGCGGGGGGGGGGGGGGGGGGGGGGGGGGGGCGGGGGGGGGGGGGGGGGGGGGGGGGGGGGGGGGGGGGGGGGGGGCGGGGGGGGGGGGGGGGGGGGGGGGGGGGGGGGGGGGGGGGGGGGGGGGGGGGGGGGGGGGGGGGGGGGGGGGGGGGGGCGGGGGGGGGGGGGGGGGGGGGGGGGGGCGGGGGGGGGGGGGGGGGGGGGGGGGGGGGGGGGGGGGGGGGGGGGGGGGCGGGGGGGGGGGGGGGGGGGGGGGGGGGGGGGGGGGGGGGGGGGGGGGGGGGGGGGGGGGGGGGGGGGGGGGGGGGGGGGGGGGGGGCGGGGGGGGGGGGGGGGGGCGGGGGGGGGGGGGGGGGGGGGGGGGGGGGGGGGGGGGGGGGGGGGGGGGGGGGGCGGGGGGGGGGGGGGGGGGGGGGGGGGGGGGGGGGGGGGGGGGGGGGGGGGGGGGGGGGGGGGCGGGGGGGGGGGGGGGGGGGGGGGGGGGGGGGGGGGGGGGGGGGGGGGGGGGGGGGGGGGGGGGGGGGGGGGGGGGGCGGGGGGGGGGGGGGGGGGGGGGGGGGGGGGGGGGGGGGGGGGGGGGGGGGGGGGGGGGGGGGGGGGGGGGGGCGGGGGGGGGGGGGGGGGGGGGGGGGGGGGGGGGGGGGGGGGGGGGGGGGGGGGGGGGGGGGGGGGGGGGGGGGGGGGGGGGGGGGGGGGGGGGGGGGGGGGGGACCTGACTGAGGAGATACACACGAAATGACCGCGTCATCGCAAGTCCTACGTCTTCTGATATTTTTATCGTGATTTTTAGTCTCATGTTCTTGAATTGTTATAGGGCAAACAAACCTAGACAAAAGCTTCAGTAGAATAAAACAATTAGTGGCGGATAGTTTTCTAGATGCAATGTTTTAAGCACTTTTATGTGGAACGTTTATGATGCTCAACGGAATAGTTGACATTTGGCCGTATCAGTGATTGTCATGAGTAAAAGCCCCTGTGTAGCTTAAATGACAAACATCCCGTTGAAACGCGATTGTTCATTGTGATAAAATGAGACAAAAAATTCGTGGTCATAGTATGCTAGATTATAAAATTGCACCACATTAGGAGTCAGTATCACAACTCGAATTGTAAAAGTAAGCCAAATCCGCTCAGTTGGATATGTGCAACCTTTCTTTTATACTCACAATAAGAGGCCATTTACTTCGATGCTTCCGTGATTATAATTTGTAAGTTTAGTTACAACAAATAAAATGATTGATGTTCTTGTTGCTTAAGTCGTTGCCAAAAGCTACCAACTAGAAACAGGTAGCGCTCCTTCAATGAGCGGTATAGCCAGCAAAGTTCTGAGCGTCGGAATTTGGTGAATGAGGACACCGTACTAATTTGAGTCAATCTTGTTGAGACATTTCTCGTGCTATGTCGCAAACTGAGGACCTATATTTTTAGAAAACTAGAAGCGATTGCTTTTAAGTGGCAGCACTATTACTGTGCTTGTAAAAGCAGTTAACTCTGAATAAATCACCTTATTGCAGTGTACAGACAAACCTCACCGTCTATCAATGAGAATGCGAAACGCGAGGTAAACCACTTAGCTCAAATTTATATGAAGGAAGGTGAATAACTAACTTTCAGCACGAAATCATGACATAGGTTAGATACGCCACTTATGCCACTTTAGAAATACAATTAGAAAAGAGTACACGAAATTTATTTTTTCATAGACAAAACCTACTTATCTCCATCATGAAAAATTAAATTTGACATGCGCGTATTTTCCTCGATAGCGCTGAT